GAAGAGAGAATGTGTGGCTCAACTTTTCTACTTGATGATTCTTTCTGTATCATACCCACAAAATCTACTATTGTTTTACGTACCTTAAGTGATTGTCAGTTGTTCTGGAAGTAGTCTTTAGTCGGCACAGAATATTGAGAAATATTTGTGTTTGTTTATTTGTTGATTTATGCCAGTCAGTCAGTCATAGAGCTTGAACTCTGGGCCCTGGGCACTGTCCCTGAGCTCTTTTGCTCAAGGCTAGGGCTTTACCACTTTGAGTCACAGCTCCACTTCCAATTTTTTGATGATGAATTGGAGATAAGAGTCTTACCAGACTTTCCTGAGTAAGCTGGATCTTTCCTGTCTGGGCTCATATCTCAGCTAGGATTACAAGCATGAGCCACCAGTGCTCAGAGAAATATTTGTTTTTATAGGGTCATAGAGAAGACTAATCATCTCTTTGTTGTACTGCAGACAGACCTTATTTGTAACAAGATGTTCTTTGGGACATCCTTTATTTTCTCCTAATATTCCTGGTCTGTTCATCTGCTTGTACTCATTTGAAGTGTTCCCATTAAAAATCTACTGATTTAGTCTGGAATAATATATTTTTTTAATCACACAGTCTTGAGGCAAGCGTTTTTAAATGAAAGGAAAATAAGGAATTTTCCTCTGATACTTTCAGAATGAATACTTTTTGCCTTGCAATCTCCTAGTTTGACTCCTTTCCTTGCGTGGTCTCCTCTACAAGCCTTTGGCAGTTTCACACTGCCCTCTGGCGGTTACATCTAGCTGCTATCTATAGGGTTTTTTTTTTGTTTCATTTTAGTTTTAGACAGTTTCTCAAAGTAGCTCAAGTAGGTCTCTAACTTGCAATCCCCTAATCATGGGAACAGAATCACAATGTTGAACAAATGAGTACTCAGAAGTTTCACACAAAAAGGAGGGAGACAATCTACGTGCTTTTGTTATTCATCTGAGTTCTGAAAGAATCAGTTCAAACAGTGTTTGAAATGTTAATTACTCACCCTTTGAAGTTTAGACAGCAGGTGGATAAAATATGTATGTCTTTTCAATACTTAATGTTTCTTACCCTTAGGAGGAACTTGTCTTTGTTTCTAAGGTAAACAATCTAAAATACTTTGTCCAGTTAATTGCTTTCCAACGACCTGTCAGGCTCCTGGGGCAAGCTGTCAAAACAAGTGAGCATTGCTGCTTAACTAAGCTTTGGATTTTTATATAAGTTTTTTCAGTTTCCAGCTCCCTAGCATACTGTTATGATGACTGGTCCAATTTTGGAAGTCGCAAAATGAAAACGTTGTATGAAAATAGAAAAGATCAAGGACTGAGATTAAGCAATCCAAACAGATCACCATCGGTCCTTCTGTCATTATTTATAGACCAGATAGCCATTTTATAAAATGTCTCCCTCTCCATCCATCTTGTCTTGCTTGTCAATTCACTCATAGACACTTGTCAGTGTTTATGAACATGCGAGATAGCATGTTGGTGTAGAAAAGAGACTCTAGCTCTTTCTCAACTTTGTGGGTTACACTTTAAACCCACAGAATAATCATTAGCATAACAAACAATGGAAGTATCTTTTCGTGTTTTGGTTTGGTTTCATGTTTGCTACCGGTTTTTCAATGTCCATTTTTTTTTTCTCGTGACTGGGCACACGCATGTACAGAAAAACCTCCAATAAGAGGTTACACAGTCAATCTTTCTGGCCACTCCTCTTCTGTTCTCTCCGCCTTCAGCTCCTTCTCACTTTAAAAGCGCAGCCACGGTTTTCTGCAGCCATATTGGCTGGGTTCGCGTGATCGTGAGGTTTCTCGTCACGACATGGTTCCTTCGGGGCCATTTTTTGCAATTCCACGCCACTCGTTATGGTGTCTTTTACCAAACGCCGTCCAAATTCCATAAAGATATTTTATAATTTGCGCATTTTTTCTGGTGATGCTCTCGAATCGTCCTCCATACTTTTTTTCCCCCTAGGTCATGGGACATGGCAATTTGTCATTTTTTTCCCAAAGAAACTTTGTCTTTGGAATCGGTTTTTTGGGCTTGACAACTCTTTAATATGCTTTAGTTTTCTTTCCTTTATTTCTCTATTGTGCCCATCGGGGCTGTGGATACGTGTTTGGGTGGTTTTTTTCTTTGTTCATTTTTCTTGCCCCCCCTCCCCTCTTCTATCTGACGGGCCTGTGGGTAACATGGTTTTTGCATTTTGGAGGGCTTAGTTTGCCCATCCGGGCTGCGGATACCTGCTTTTATTTTTTTTTTTCTTTCCCAATTAAGCCCATCGGGGCAACGGATACCTGGGGTTTTTTGTTTTGTTTTGTTTTCGTTTTTAAATTAGTTTTTGGCCCATCGGGGCATCGGATACCTGCTTTTTCATTTTTTTTTTCTCCTCCTTTTTCTTTTCTTTTTCTGGTCCATCGGGGCCGCGGATACCTGCTTGCTTCACACCCCCCCCCCCCCCCCGTCTTCCTTTCCCCCCCGCTTTTCATAGCCCATCGGGGCCGCGGATACCTGCTTTGGTGTTTTGCCACTGACCATCAGGAGTTTGTATGGCTGGCTGGACATGTAGGTTTTGTGAGTTCCTCGGTTCGCTGGAGTCCCTGCACCTTTCTTGCTGCTGATCGTTTTGGTGGAGTGTGAGTTAACCTCCGGGCTGTTAACAGAAAAATGACTTCACAGTTTAGCTCGGTGGGCGTTACAGGGTGTGGAGAAAAAGCGAGCGCCATCTTATCTTTGCTGTCTAACTTGGCCGAGGGCAAGTGTTGCTAAGTGGAAATTACGGCCCCCAAATGGACAGTGAGACAGGACAAGGCCATCAGAGTACAGGGCCTGAGGAGCCAAAGCTTCTGACTGAGCTGGTTTTGACTTTTCTGCAAATCTGGGTGTGGATCAGGGTAAGCAGAGACAAGAATGTTCAGGATCTGGAGGTGGGGGTGTGAAAAGTATGGCAGGCACAGTCTGACCGTCTGGGAAGCACATGGAAATGCATTTTGCAGCGTGGCTCAACTTAGCTGCCTGTGCAGTTTAGCTTCATAAGATGGCGGATCCCGTCACTGCAGTGTCCAGAAGGCGGGAAAGTTACAGTTTTGTTCTAACATGTATCTAACATGTAATCTAGCTGTGAGAAGGTCTTACTGACACTACAATATGGCAGTAGAAGTTCTTGCTATCTTATAAATAGAAATTGTTTCTTTTTTTCCATATGTTTGTCTCATTTCTTGAGGAGACAATGTAGCCCCTTGGTCAGGGGCTAATATGGCGGCTAGTCACGTGAAGGACTTGAGGCCTGGTGCCTGGTCCAACCTTGGCGGGCTTTGCGAACGCTGCATTGTTAAAGATGGCGGGCACTTCCGTTTTGTGCCCCTCGAATCTGAGGGAAAGAGAGTTGATATTTTTTGCTTGCCACTTGACTTCTGTCAGAAGTGGGCACTTAAGAGTTGGATCAGATGGTAGAATTAAGACTGATGACACAGTATCCATTGAGGACTTGGGTGAGCCAGCCTATCACCTCTGAGGTAATTCCACCTTACTCAGCCAGTCAGAAGCTGTGAGGCACGCCTGCAATCCTAATACCTGGGAGGCTGAGGCTGAAGGATCGTTAAGTTTGAGGCCAACTTGGCCTCACAACGAGATCCTATCTCAAAAACGAAAAAAGGAGAGAGGCCACATTATAGTCTCTCCCTGTGGATGGTATCCAAGGTCAAAGTCATCTGAAAGACATTTATTTTCCCTCTACCTCCCTTCATATTTGTCCAGCATGATCTTGGCATGCTGGCTATCTGCTTGTGGACGCTGAACCTCACCCCATTCCTCTGTACTGGTGCTGTGGCCCAAGGATAGTCTTTTATTTCCTGGTCTTTGGTCTAACCTGCAGTTTGTTACTTCTAGCATTATTGCAGGCCTGGTGTGTACTTGCTGGTGAGTGTGATCAGAACCATAATAGCTAGCAGATAATCGCTGGCTAAGAGGTGCAGAAAAGTAACCTCTACGGTTCCCTACAGGAACATGTACCCTATGGCCAAGCCTGGGGTTGGATTGAGATTTATATATTGTCCTTTTTCGTTATCAGTCTTAAGTCTGATGATGTAGTTTTGCTATTTGAATTTCAGACTTAAATGACTGTTACAGAAATGTACTTAAGAGCTTTATGTGGACAATATATGCTAATTACTTGTGATTTAATCTTTTTTTCTGAGTGTTTTATTTTGTGGTTCTGGGCTTGATTGAACTCAGGGCCTTGTGCTTGTTTAGGTAGGTGCTCTACCACTGAGACCCACCTCTCGGCCCATTCTGATTATTTTCTTTGAACCTGGCTTAATTGGCTTATAGCACAGAAAGGATTATTTAAATAAAATTTCACCTTATGACCAAATGGGGAAAAATAGAATGTTTGAAGGTCTTCACTAGTCTCCAGGCCTTATGTGGTTCTTATTCTTGATGCTGCACTATACTACTTGACTAAAGAGCTATTTATCATGCAGGAAACCTTTTAACTGCTGTGTTCTAATGTGCTTTATAAGAGTATTAATGACCATATTTCACTTTTCTATGGTTTCCTGCCTTCTTAACACCCAGCTCTAAGTCTGGCTCACAGCGATCTCTCAGTCCTTGATCCAGACCCCAGCCCCGGCCCCAGCCCCGGCCCCGGCCCCGGCCCCGGCCCCAGCCCCAGCCCCAGCCCCGGCCCCGGCCCCAGCCCCGGCCCCGGCCCCGGCCGCAGCCCCAGCCCCGGCCGCAGCCCCAGCCCCAGCCCCAGCCCCAGCCCCGACCCCGACCCCGACCCCGACCCCAGCCCCAGCCCCGGCCCCGGCCCCGGCCCCGGCCTAGGCCCCATCCCCGGCCCCGGCCCCGGCCCCGGCCTAGGCCCCATCCCGGGCCCCAGCCCCGGCCCCGGCCCCGGCCCCGGCCCCGGCCCCAGCCCCGGCCCCGGCCCCGGCCCCAGCCCCAGCCCCAGCCCCAGCCCCAGCCCCAGCCCCAGCCCCACGCCCCTGCCCCAGAACAGCTGGCCCCAGCCCCTGCCCCTGCCCCAGCCCAAGCACAGCTTGTCCCTAGAGTTGCACCAATCTTCATTGATTTGGTGCTCAAAATAAGATGCCCATTGCTCATCTGGTTAGACTGAGTCTATGCCCACCAAGATGACTGCCTAAGTCACGATTTTCCCAGGTTAAAACAAAGAATTCTTGCACCTTATATTAAATGTTACTACCCTAAAGAAGGAAAAGCCATTATTCTGTCATTGTTGCAGTAGTCCCAGCTCCAATATTCTGGTGTCGGTGGTCTTTTTTACATACAGTGGTTGACCACCTGAAACTCTTTGCCGAGTTATATTCTAATTATCCATAATCTACCCTTTGGATTAGACCTCAGTCCAAACCCTATTTGCACTCAGTAGGGGGACTTCAAAGTCTTAACATACAGTTTATATGCTCAGTCCCAGTTGTCCTAGCCTTGCCTGCTAAGGGGGAAGATACCCTATTTTCATTACTGTGCTGGGGACTGCTTCTCTTGAATTAATGGTGTCCATAATTATATCTGATGAGCAGAAAACCAGATCTTATTCTGATTTATTTGCCGTGCTGGGGATCCAACCTAGAGCCTAGTATATGCATGCTAAGTACCATCACTGAGCTATATCTCTAGCTCTTGGTATTTTGAGACACAGTCTCTATTAAGCAACTAAGGCTGGCCTGGAACTCACAACCCTCTTGCCTCCCAACTCCCTCCTGCCTTGCTCTTCGGAGGAGAGACATGCTAGCACTCCTGGTTGTCATGTCCTATTAATGTGCATTGGCTGTATTTCTTACTGTAACTGAGCACTGGGTTAAAAAAAAAATCAAACCCTGACCTTTGTCATTTCTCTTGTAGTCTACAGTGGATAACCTCCACCTAGTTAATTGTGAATGATAGTAATTGACTAATCAAGTCTCTTGTGCAAGATTTTATATTAATTACCTACATTTTATATATTGGAACATTATATATGGAAAATTCCAAAGTTCATAGTTCTCCCCTAAAGTAATATTTACCTTTTTACATGAAAACAACCTCAAATGGGTTCTGCAGTTGCTTGAACTCAGGGCCTTGGACAGGCCAGGCAAGCCCTATACTACTGAGTGATATCCTCTTAGTTTTTGAAGACAGGATAACTCAGCCTGGCCTGAAATTCATGATCGCCCTTCCTGAGATTACAGGCATGCGTGTCACCAGGCCTGGCCCAAACTGGAACTCTTAAATATGTATATTTCCAGTTGCTAATGGTCCCTTCCAATAAGCTAAGATCTTGACTTCTGAATGTGAAGGTGCACTACCCACATGAAATCTTTCTGCTGAATCATAAATACCCTTGTATAACAGCAAAGGCGTGGTTTCATACCACTTCACTGAATATAATTAATAGCAGTCTATGCCTCCACATGTTAAAGTAAGGTCTTGTTTCCTTTCACCATTTGCACTACTGCTGAGGCTCTTACCAACCTGAGATTCACTCTCTGGGGTTTTTGGAGGCATAGTTTTACTGTGTGGCCCAGGCTGGCCTCAAACTTATGATTCTTTTGTCTCAGCCTCTCAGTTTCGGGATTACTTGTATGCATCACTGTGGCCTGCACTGTCTCTGTTCATGTGCATACTTAATTTTTACGCCACTAGTAGGCGCCAGTAAAGACTCGAGTCACAATATATTGCAGTCGGAGGCGCCCACTACTGAAGATCCTTAAACTTGTAAGTGTTGTACACATTGTCAGAATCCACAGCTGTGCCTGTTAGATCAAGACTCTTCTCTATATTAAAACAGAGAAGACTATCATGAAGGCCTTTTCTTGAGACTGAACTGTACATAACCATAATGGCAATTATTAATGATTCTTTCAAGGTTGAGTTGTCTCTGTTTATACCCTTTTTGCTTTTACTGAAAGAGGTGCTGTTCACTTACGGGCCTTTACTCAAAGTGTTGATACATAATATCAACTACATGGAGATCCATTTCACACTGCCTTTGAAGTATAACAATAATTATACTTCATGCCTTAAAGGCTCCATTTTGAGGCCAGCTGATATATCTGATTGTATTGGTCTATGTTTCTATGCACTGGAAGAGGAAGTCATCTCCCACCCTCCTGCCTTTCCCTTTCAGCAGGGAATGCACTGTCCAGAAGGCCTTTATATTTGAACAGTGAAGATGCACAATTGTAATAAGCAAAATCATGCACCTTGAGTATTAATGTACATAGCTACATGGTTCATTTCATTTGAATAAGATCTTACTCTCAGACCCCATTACAGTACAAGGACAGCTAAAGTCTTCATTGGCTTCTTATTCCTGGACAAAATAATAATTTACAGGAGGGAGTGTTCACTACTTTAAGTGTCAAGTATGTGGTTTAATTGACCACAACTGTATTCCTTGGATGTTAATAGACATGACTGGGACATAGGTCATCCTGTTTAATTAAGGTTGCTGACCTGTAAGTCCCCTTTTCTTGGCCTGTCAATATGCACAATTGTATTTGTGTGGGTTGTTGTGTCCCAGTCAAGGACATCCCACCTTTGACTTCCTCTGCCTTTCCATAAGTGGTACCCAGTGCTTAAAATCTTTACATGTGGACAAGTAATATGTGTAACTTCAGTGGTCCACTGCCCTATTAACTTAAAGAGCCTTGTAGCTCTTTTGTGCTATGGCAGGGGAACTGTTTTCTCCCAAGACTCCTGTTAGTAGACCATTAATATATATATAATTGAAATTTTCTTGGTCATACCCCATCACCTTCCCTTTCGATCAACAAAGGCCTTCTTCTTTTAGACTGTTCATGTGTACAATTGCATTTGCTCCTACTTTGTGCACTAGAAAAGGATCTTAGAAGTAGCAGAAAGTACTTGCTGCTTTCACTTGGAAAGTTCACCTGCCCAAATACAATTCTCTAAGTACATCTTAAATCAAAACCCCAGTGCTCCTTTCAGATTTCAATATGCACCAATGCAACTGCCCATTCCCACTTTAGTTAGAGGAGTTCATCTCCTCACACTCCCTGCACATTGAAGGCATGTTAACTATATATGAGCCTCTCTTGTAAATGAATATTAATATACATAATTATGCTTATCTTTGGATCCATCTGGTAGAAAAAGACCTTATGTTCCTACCAGTACTTAGTGATTGCTGCTGAGGAGCTCTATGTATAACCTCAGCTCTTGGACAATTAATGCAAAGCAATGCCAGTTATCAAGACTACTGGACATTCAACAGGACCCCTGTACTCTCTTTGTCTAACTAAAGCCCCCTGGATTGTAATGTGAATATTTGCAATGAAGGCATGCCAGAGATAATGTGTCGTCCACGCACTTCTCTGCACTACTGCAGGTGCTGCTGACCTCCCTACAGCCTCTCCTGAGACTGTTCAGTGGTAATTATAAATGGCTTTTATTTGTCCCTTAAAACTTACCTTGGGACTGACTGCTAATAAGCACAATGACAATCATCAATGGTCTTTTATCCTCCTAGATCTTGTTAAGCAAGCTTCCCATATAAAATATAACACTACAGTGTTCCATGGACTTCTGCATCAAACAATGCCCTGTATTTCTAGTCTTTCTGCATTGCTTTGGTGCCTAAAATCCCTGAGTTGTCATGCTCTCATGCTTTCCACAAAGTCCTCTTCCTGCCCCTCTGACCCCTGAACCCTTCTGACCAACTATGAAGGCTCACAATCCAGGATTGTGCTCTCATTTCCTTTGCCCTGCCCCTTTGCTGGGCAAGGCCCTTTCCCATGGCCTTAAAAACTTAACAATCCTAAGCTTCATTGCTTTGTACAGCTGGAATGCTTCAGTTGTCCTTTCCTTGGTCCCATCTGGTAGACACAACCCCTCCACTTCCCTTTGCATTACTTCTGACTAATGCCAAGTACCCCAAGCTCCACAGTGTCCTTAATGGACACAATACTGTCCGACATTTCAGCCCCAGCCCCAAATCTCCCTGCCACGTTGAGTTTGTGCAGTGCTGACCATCAAAGCAGCAGGCTGGAACTAGGTAGATAAGCCTTCGTCCTTCCTACATCTATTAATTATCCCAGTTTCAATTACTGCCACATTACTGCAGATGCTGCTGCACCTGCCCAACTTTAATACTGCTTTAGTGAGCAAAATATTTAAGGCAAGTCAAGCTCAGGGAGCCCCTTTATTTAGGGCTTCCTTTACACAGTATCAACTGAAAATCGTCTCCCAGGGGAGGAAGGTTCGTACTTGGTTTATTTGCTTCCTTCCGGAGCTGATTTGCCTGGTTAAAAACCTCAACTCTTCTCTTTTGTATATTGCTATCATACAGTGCCAATTGCCAGGATGCAACCAGAAAAGCTGCTGTTCACTTGGCATTTGGATTACAAAATGGGCTGATCATCTGGTCATTAATTTATTGATGCCAAACAATGTATTTATACTAGGTATCAGATGCATTTATCTGGTGCAATTATCTGATCATATATCTGATGACCAGTGTCTCATTTTACTGAGGTGGTAGATCTGTGGATAGAACACTGTGACTCTTGCTTACTTCAGTATTTCCAAAGGTGCTCAAGTGGACTAATAAGCTCAGTCTCTTTGGCTGTACTAGTATTGGAAAACTAGTGTTTGTTTGGGCATTGTTGTGATTTACTTCTAGGAAAACTAGTTATGCTTTACTTGGAGTACTAGTCCATTATTATAAAATGAGAGTCCATAATGCTAAGGTGCTTTTTGTTCATAATTGGAAGTAACTAAAGAACCATCAGCCTGAAGTGTTCAGGGTGTTTCATGGCCACTGAGAATTTAATAGGAAACTGCTGAAACAAATGATTCAGCCATCACAACTGCAGTTTGTCACCACTGAACAATAATACTCCTCTTCTGAGAAGGATATAAAAACATCCACCCAGCTCCAGGTCCAGCTGTAAGAAGCTATAAGAAGAATCCTCAGAAAGTTCTAAGACTCTCTGGCTTTTTAGAATACCGTAAGTACTACTTTGTTGCTATTAAGTCACCTTTGTCTTATTCAACTTGATTTTACATGTCACCCATAGAAAAGTCAAATGGCTTAATCTCTGACTCTTCACAATACACCTGCAATTTATGGACATATGTCTGTTAAGCAGCCGAATTTCAGAATTAGTATGTGTACTGAGCCCTATGCTAGGATACACTGAAATGAGATAGAAATGATAGGTAGAAATGATATGATTTCATCTCTGAGATAGTTGGTTATTGAGAGCTAATACAAGCACACTTGAGTTAATTGTAGAAAATGAGCAAGTGTTGCCTTGTGAATTACAAGTCATGGTGTTACTATTTTAAAAAGCAATAACAGTTTCAACCCACTCTCAAGGGTTTACAGTTAATGTGAACAGACTATTTCTTTTTAGATACTGTAGATGGCATATAAATAACTTTGAGCTTGGATCTCTTAATTTGCAAATTAGATACATTTGTTTACTCTCATGGCCATCAGGAAAGAGCAGAGGAAATACTATACTTGTGTAAGAACTGCCTTGTTCTAACTGGAATCCTGTCTTTGGTTGTAAAGTACCTGCTCTTAGGTTAACTAAGTTAGGGGAAAGAATGTTGCCAAGAGATTTTGAAGCTTATAAATAAAGAAATAAATACCTAGTATAAATACAGAGATTTTTCTTAGTGAAATGCCATAAAATAGTTTGGCTTTACTAAGCATCTTATCTAAGGATTAGAGTTGAGTAATTCATCTTCTGTTTACCCCTGAGAATTTAAGATATTAACATAAAGATCCTTATAATATCCATAATGAGGAATCTGGAAACGTGCTCTTTTAAGAGCCTCGATTTACTAGACCTGGTCCCTAACATATGCTTTAAAAAACTGCACATTTGGCTTAGATCTACTTCACTGAACTCTAACCCTGTAGTCAAAGCAGAGCCCATTCTTAAAAACAATCAATACAATGGCACCTTTAGGTACTAGTAATAGCTCTGCTATTTTGTATCCAAATATTTTTAGCAACAACATGACCTTTTAGCTACAAATCTAGTCAGACCCATTGGTTAATGGAGTTCTTTTTTCTTCCCTTGCCTACTTCAGTGCTTTGTCATCTGGTAAAACCAAGCAGGCTAGAAAATAGAAAAGGAATACCTATGTCTACTGCTTCAGTTATACTTCCTAGGTTTTTAGTAACATACTGAGTCCTGTATTTCTTCTCAAAGACATTTCCAGGACACAGATTTGAGAAATTCCAGCACCTGTTTACAGGTTCCACAGCAACTCCGCCTAGCTCCAACCTGTCTCAGTGCAGAGTTTGCCTGGAAAAAAAAAAAGTAGTTTGGAGAACTTACCTTTGTGAGACTTCCATCTTTGTCTTCAAGGGCTTTCGTTTTCTGCAGGTCATTTCTTTTCAGCCACACTTCCTACTCAATGAGGCATTGGTTATTTTTAAGTGTGCCCACCTTTTTATTGCTGTTGTTTTTAACTAAAAGCAGAATATGAGCCAGCTTTTATCAACTGCTCCACAATTTTCCTCTTGCATATACTCATCAATCTTTAACCTTCTACAATGCATTTGGCCTATTTCATTTTTATCCCTCAACACTAGTTTCCAGTAAGGTCTAAGGCCAAGCATACTGGGTCCTCATTTCATAAAGGAAAATAACAAATTTACTTCCTTCCTCATCTACAGCCAGTTAGCTAGTGAGATAGTTGCTTTCTGCTTTACAGGCCTTGAGATGGTTCCCGCCTTCCAAGAGCCAACTGGCTTTAAGTTCTCAGGATTTGCTTATGAATAGGACCATTTGAGCCGCAGGATGCAGCATGTTCATGTACAGCCAAATTCATTCCAGACTCTGGCCCTCCTAAATTTGAAAAACAATAAAAGTTCTTGTAAAGACAAAAGAGGAAATGCCCAGATCTAAGTAAGCTATTTCCAGGATTCTGGGGTCTTTTCCAACTTGTTTTTTCTCCCCCCCCACGCCCCCCGCTCTACAGTTGTTACTGTCTTGAACTAGTAAACATTTTAGGCTTTCTCTAGATATTCTAGTTTGGGTGGTGGTTCTATTCCACAAGTTGTCCAAAAAGTACACCATGTGCATACAGCCAAAACTGTTCTACGTACTGTGGCAATACAAATTAAAAGAGGGAATGCGGCAAACCTAGGAGCCAGACAGGTAGTGTGATTAATGTAGATTTCTCAGTTCTAAAAACTGATTTAAAAAAAAAAGCTACAATACAGAACTTGAGGGGAAAGGGTGAAAAAGTGTGGCAGTGGAGTTCACTAGATGAAAGTGAACTATACAACTCATGGGTGCAGACAGGAGGGAGGGACTAGAAGAGTGAGGGAAGGGAAGACACTGTATGAAAGGAAATGTACTCATTACCTGACTCAGGTAATTGCAATCCCTCTGTACATCACCTCTATAATAACAATAAAGTTAATTATTTTTTTAAAAAGAAAGCCAGAAACATCAACTGGGTGCTGGTGGCTCACTCCTGTAGTCAATCCTAGCTACTCAGGAGGCTGAGATTGAGGTAGCCTTAAGCCCTAAGCTCAGGGACAGTACCCAGGCTCTTAGTTCAAGCCCCGTGACAAGAAAGAAAGGAGAGAAAGAAAGAAAGAAGGAAAAGGAAAGAAGGAAGGAAGGAAGGAAGGAAGGAAGGAAGGAAGGATCAGATTGAGACTTTTTATTCTCTACAGATTTTCTGCTTGAACTTGTAGCCAAAATTCCTATTCTAAAGTGGACCCTTGAATCTTCAGATTCTCCATCTGTTAGTCTATAAAACATAAACACTGCAAAAGCTCAGGTTATATGTTCCCTTAACATTCCTCCATGTAGCAATTATAGACGTCTGTTTCTTCAAAAGTTAAGAATTGTCTTAAATGTGAATACAGAATCACTTCAAAAAGAAAAAGAAAAAAAGAAAGACTACAAGCATAGTCTGGGAATTCTAGTAATTATTCAGTTCTACATTGTTTTTGGGGATGAGAAGAAATAGAGCTGAAATACATAGAATTCTCACAGGGCTATGCTGACAGCCAGAATATACATCTCTCTATAGTGTCTCTTAAGTGTCCATCCCTCTATTCACACAAAGAAAAGAGAATATTTGATTGAACTCAAACATTAGTTACTCATTGTGACAGACTTCATCAGTATACTGATTTTTTTTAATCTTTTTTTTTTTTCTGTCTCCTTTCCAGATGTTCCCTAGAAAAACTTCGTTGCTTTGCAGTGTTAGTGACCTCTTCCCTTTGAGGATCGCTAGGTGGAGATGGGGCATGAGGATCCTCCAAGGGAAAAGCTCATTATCACTCAGCAACAATACTAGGTCAACAGGTTTTACTAATGTACGTTCCTGGGTCCAAATAGGAAGATGAAGATTCACAGATACACACATCAAGATGGGTAAGTCAAGCTGGGCACCTGTGGCTCACGCCTATAGTCCTACCTATTTAGGAGGCTGAGATCTGAGGATCGAGGTTCAAAGCCAGCCCAGGCAGAAAAGTCCCCATAAGACTCATCTCCAATGAACCACTCAAACAACCAGAAGTGGCACTGTGGCTCAAAGTGGTCAAATGTTAGGCTTGAGCAAAAGAGCTCAGAGACAGCATCCAGGCCCTGAGTTCAAGCCCCATGACTGGCCACCCCCCCATCCCCCCCACCCCCAATAAAAGATGGGTAAGTGAGGGCTGGGAAACCAACAGCATTCAGTACACCAAATCCTAATTGTATAGGCCTTGTCCTGTATTCTTCATGAAGAGTTTGGTATTCACCATGAGATGCTTTCATGATAGGAATCCTTAAAATGTTTTCACTGATTAGAAAGACCCATGGGTTTTGGGATAAAATGACTAACAACTTGTTAAGACTCACCTAGAGCCAGTATCCCTTGTAGATTTTTCTATTGGTAAACGACTACCTCCCAAAAGGTCCCCTTCTTTATCTCGAAGAGCAACATTAGGGATTTGGAAATATTAACTCTGCCTGTATTTTGGCAGTCCTGAGCCAAGATACTTAAGGAACACTAACTTGGTTGTTGTGGTCTTTAAACTCTTTTATCTGTAGGTTTGTTTTTATGATGTCAGTTATTCATTTAGAACGCCCCCTAGTGGACTGGCATTTTAAAAACAATTCCAGTCTTTAGCTGCAAGTCTAAGGCTAGGACAGGTGAAAGCCCCTTCAGTGACTCATTAATGCTATTTTCCTGTGCTGCTAAGCAAGGAAACTGTATTTATTTGATCTCTGAGCCTAAAAACTTCATGCCCTGTGCAAAGTTTTTACACCTTATTTAAATCTTCCATGATAACACAGTATTTCATACTTCTTTGATGGCATTTTACGTGGTTTCTTTCATTTTTCTTAGCTCCATCTGCTGCTGAATCATTATTCTTCTCAAAGGCAGTACAGAAAGTGGAATCTTCAGCATGATCAAAAACTGTGAACACGACAGGACACTGGCTTGCCTATCTGAACGTCAACATGCCTGGCATACTACCATTTTAAAATAACAGAATGGAGTAAGTTGTTTAGGTTTCAATCCTGTGAGGCTTTGTTTGTTGGAATTGGTGTTAGATGGAGTGTAGTGGTCTAAATGTAAGATGGGAAAATGACCAGGTGCTCATATTACCAAATAAAAGACATGGCAGTCTGTTTACCAGTTGTATTACACAGGGGCTGAGCCTCTACTTATCTTATTCTGTAGAAGCTTAAATACTGAGAAGCCTAAATGATAGTTTTGGCTTTCTGCTGAAGGAGTGAGCCTTCCTCATTTCCCATTGTGAAAGAATATATGTGTGGCTAAAATGTATTAGTGCAGTAGCTCGCACCTGTAAACCCAGTAACTCCAAAGGAAGAGATCAGGAAGAGTAAGGATCTGGGCGAGTTCAAGCAAAAAGTTAGACCTCATCTCAGCAAAAAAGCTGAATATGGTAGAACATATATCTGCCATGCCACTATAACCTATCATGACATTCCACTTACATGGAATGTTTTACTAGAAGCACCAAAGTCCAGGTTAGGCCAAGCAAAAATTTGAGACTGCCTGAAAAAAATAAAAGCCCTGGATTTGATTCCTCAGTATCATCCAAACAGAAAAAGCTGCAAGTGGCACTGTGGCTCAAGTGATAGAGTGCTAGCCTTGAGCAAAAGAAGCTCAGGGACAATACTCCGGCCCTGAGTTCAATCCCCAGGACTGGCAAAAATATATAAATAAATAAAAAATAAAAGCAAAAGTGCCTGGGTTGAGGGCTTAGGTAGTAGTAGTTCAAGGTTTGGAATTTAAGCTCTAGTACTATCAAAAAAGAACAACAAAGTATAAGAAGAAACCCAGACCCTAAAATAGCCATCAAAATTGTGAAGGGTGTGAAAATCCAGTTTTCTAAAGAGAAAAAAAAAAAATCAGGGCTTTCGAAAGGCCCTTTGTTAAAATATTCATCCCACTGGGACAACCTAGTCATGGAGTTCCTCCTAAATATTTGTAGCACAAGGTTTAAATCCTTTCTGCTACTCATTAGCTATTGGACCTCTGGCAATCTAGAGCCTCTAATTAGACTTGTTTATCGATGAGGCATAAATGAAATGAATGGAAAGTGCTTAGTGTAGTGTCTGGCACATGCTCAGTAAAAGGTAAACCAAGCCACTCGCCATTTCTGGTGGTTGGCAGAGTGCGTAAGCTCTGGTTCTGCATAAAAAGAACATTTCTTAGCTAAACATATATATATAAGCAGAGGAGCAACTGTACTGCTGGTCCTAATTATTGCTATTATACTATTGATAGTTGTGTAAGAAGTAGTATTGGTACATAGTCACTCATTGCAGTTACTAATGGCACTTTTCTTTTTGGTCTTTTTGTGCCTCTGTCTCAGGTCTCTCACTGTATTTTGTTCCTTGCGATTTTCCTCCTGCGATAGTCAATCCTGTTGCTTCCTGCCCCCCCCCCCCATGTAATTCTCTGTCTGTTTCTTGCTTGAGTGGTCTTTTAATCTTTAAAGAATGTCATACCCATTTCCATATTCTCTTGCTAATGTCTTTATGTCTATATGTGCCTCTTTCTGACCTGTGCCTTTTCTGCTTTTGTTCCTAAGTGTGATGTACTTTGTCTTACATGTATGTTACTTTTGTCATTTGTTACCACTCCTCTTGGTTCTTCTCTTTCTGGCTTCTCTTTCGTATCTCCTGTGTGCTTGCTTTCTCTTTGCTTATTGTGCCTGCCCTCATTTCTTTTTCTCTTTGTAATGTCAGTCTCTTTTCCTTTTCCTATTTGTAAAATCTGATTGTTTATCCCTCCTTTTCCTTCTTTGTAATAGTCTGATTGTTTCTTTTCCTCTTTCTCTTTCTGAAGTCTAATCGTCCCTCCTTTTCCTTCTTTGTGATACAGTCTGATTGTGTCTTTTCCTCTTTGTCTTTGTAAAGTCTGATTGTTTGTCCCTCCTTTTCCTTCATTGTGATACAGCCTGCTTGTCTCTTCCTTGTTCCTCTTTGTAAAGTCTGTGTGTCTCTCTTTTTCTTCTTTGTGATGTCTCATTGTCCCTCTTTTCCTTCCTCTCTAAAGATGTTTGATTGCTCACTCCCCTTTTCCTTCTTGTTGGTTAACATTTCACCTTCTAACTCTGGCTTCCTTCAAGCTTTTCTGCTCCTCAGCTCACATTTCTTATCTATACATACCCTTTCTGCTTCTCAGTCCATTCTCTTTATTCCTCCTTTGTCTATCTTATTGTCTGCTATTTGTGACTTCGTTTCAGTATTACTCTTTGTTTGCTTATGTTTCTTTCTTTCTTGTTTTTCTTTTCTGCTTACCTTTGAGTATTTCAGTCTCTTGGTGAATGTGTGTCTCCCTTTCTATTTCATGTAATCCTCTCTTGGATATTTCTTTGACTAAGTGGCCGTCTCTGTGTATGTGTGTGCATGTCATGTGTGACATACATGGGGTTTCCTAACCCCTTCCCAATAGGTCCAGACTATCAGCAGCCAAAGTAAGCACTGGAGAGTTGTTCATCATGCCAGGCCGCCCTGTGAGATGCTCCAGGACCACAACACCTCGCGACTAGAAATCAACTGATGACCTTTGATGGGCAGAAGGTTGAAGGCTTAAAAGAAGACAGAAGACTTGAGACTTGAGTGTATTAGGATGAAATACCCCTATCTCAAAATAGAGGGAGGCTTGAGACCTGAGGCCAACAGAGGCCTCAAAGAGCCAAGATATAAAGAAGGCCTGCCTGAGTTGAATGAAACACTTAAGTTTGACAGAAGCCAGAAGGCTCAGGATAGAGGCTGTTTCTATGTGGGACTGACATGGAAAGTGTAAGGACTGAGACTTATGACACAGGCCCAAGACTTGAGAAAAACCCAAGGTTGTAGCTTGAACATAGAAGACCCCAATGATAGAAGGAAAGAGACACAAATATGACCCAGGTCTCAAGCTTCCCTACCTGGACAGATGACCTCAAAGAAACATCTCAAGCCTAAAGGCTAGAAGCTAGAGACCTGAACTCAAAGGATATAAACGCCAAGACAGGGCAATCTCAAGATGAGAACCCTAAACTCCAACTCTTCCCACTCTAGGACGTTATCAGTTCTCCCCTTCTAGTTCTCTTATTCTCATTTGATACATACTTTTTTATGTTGCTGTTTACCTTATGTAAGTGCATATTATCTTTAGACTGACAATAACTATGCACAGGCTGATCTTGAACCCATTTTGAATCACAGTTTTTAGCCATTCATTAAAGTTTCAGTGTCTGTAAATTTCCATTTTTCCTGACATCTGCTCCACTTGAGTGAGTCACCAAAAACCAACCAAAAACCAATGCTTTTGTTATTCCCCCAGGAGCAAGCCTCCATACAAATCTGTATTCCCTAGATTCCCTACCTCAGAGGCCCTAGGCTGATGAGAAGACAAAGGCATTTGGCTGTTGGGACAAAAAAAAAGTGCCAGGCTCTGGAGAGAATGTGAAGAGATGCACCTGGCCAATGAGAAAAATTAGATGAGACATAGACTGATGTGGCAGCCTCTGAGAAGCACTAGGCAGCATGGCCTTCCTTCTTTGAGCCTAGGTGAGCAGGATTTCTGGGGTTGGGAATTTCTGGTAATGGTTACCAAAAGAGTGATTGGATTTGATGACAAGAGTCATCTCTGATCTCCCTGCTCATAGTAGTGGTCAAATAATCTGGTGGATTGCACCACTTACTGCTGGGTTTAACACCCACCTCTCGGCTTAAAGATGAGAGAACTTGGGACTCATTAATAAAGAGATGTAATCTTTTCCTTCATTTCCCCCTCTTTATGAGGGAAGTTGATTTAAATGATTGGTAGGTAGTATGGATGAAATCACAAGAGATGAAAATAAAGTATGCTCAGTTGCATTATAATTAGCCATGCAGAGTACCTTGTGCAATGTACTTTGGGAAGCACTGTGTAAGTATGGAATCAGATCCAAAATACTGTACACTTTGTAGGCCATATGGTCTCTGTTGCGCATTTTTTAACCTTTTAAAAAGGTGAAAATATTTTTAACTTGTGGATCTGTCCTGATGCCCATAGTTACCAAACTCTGATATAAAATGCCAGAGAACATGTTTGAATAATATGAATTCTGTTCTCTGGGTTTGTCCCTGAGCTGAGCACTAAGCATATACTGTTTCTTTGTGATCTTATTCAAGTGCTATGAAGAAAAGTAATTTTGTGATCCTACTCAAGTGACATGAAGAGAAACAAATGAATGTGCTTTGTAAACCATAAAGCACAAGAAACCTTGTGAACTTACATGCTGATGATCAGTACTTATTACCCATTACATATGGTTTTGTGATACACTGCAGATTTAAAAAGCATTAATGTATTGATTACATTAATGAAGTAATAATAGTGGATAAATTCAATAAAACATGCATTGAGACACACCTCCAACCCTTTGCTATGAAAACTTTTAAAAAAGAAGCACAAATAACAAAGTGCTTTGTCACAAAATATATAATACTATAATGAGGGCTCCATAAGAGAAATTTGTATATTTCTACTGCTCTGATGGTTTAGAATAAAAATACAGTATTCCAGGTTGCAGAAAAGAAACATCAAAGCTGCTTTTAAAGTACAAAAAAACACAAATACAAGATATTAAGCTATTATGATTACTGATAATGTGCCAGGTAATATGCTAGATATTAAGAGATACCAAAAGGATTTAAATAAAATTTTTTTTCATGGCCTATGCCTATCGTCTTACTGTCTAGGGGAAATGGAGATTGAGAAGGCTTCAGTTGTGAGCCTTCAAAAAGTTAATGAGACCTCATCTCAACTAACAAGCCAGAGATATGATGGTCATGCCTGTATGTAAAAGCAGAGTTAGGATTGTGGTCTGAGGCCAGCCCTGAGCAAAAACCATGAGATCTAATCTGATAACTCAAAAAAGATCTGGGAGCATGGCTCAAATAAATGGTAGAACACACACATACCTAGAAAGTACAAGACCCTGAATTCAAACCCAGTCTGCCTGCCCCCATCCCCCCAAAAAAAGTTTCTCAAAGAACCAAAAACTCAGAAAATAGCACATAGTAAAGTGCTTTGTAAACTAAAGAAAGCACCATGCAGACATTAAGGATCTGTTGATGGATGAATATTAACCACCTCTTACATACCAGGTATCATTTTGGTACATAGAAATCCAAGAAAAATGCTGCCATATAATGAGAAAGTTTATGCTCTATATTTAGATATAAGGAATGAGATAATGCTTACTTACTAAAGTTAAAGCATTACTGGCGAAGTTCAAGTTCAAGTAATCTCAGTAAAACACTTGCCCAGGTAACTGAGCAAGAGAAATAAAGGAGAGTATGTTCTCCAAACCGTAAATTACTAGCTGTAATAAGTAAAGCTGCCAGTAGTCATTGTCTCGAACTTCTCATTGGCTCCTTGACCCACAATGAGAAGGAGAGCATACAAGCTGAGTGTTGAAGTAAATGCCTGCTGTCCCAGCACTTGGGAGGCTAAAGCAGGACCAACACTTGAGCCTCAAAATTTTGATACCAACCTGGGCAACATAATGAGACCTCATCTTTTTGAAAAGTTATACCAACTGAGAAACTAAATACTTATTGATGAATGATTCAATTCTGATTGCCTTACACGTGAACCCACTCATCTGGGCACATTAAAAGCACACCGCTTTGTGTGGCCCCAGCTTAGAAAAGACAAATTAGCCTTTTGTGAATTCTAAAGCACTCTAAAAGTAACTACTGATTTTCTCATTTGATACTAAGTGTAAGGTTTATGAAGTCTTTTCACACTTAGTACACTATGAAAATAAAATAAAAACCATTAAAGATCGTTAACTGTTGAAACTCTTAATATGTGAGGCATTCAATGTCTGATAAGCATCAGAGTGGGTGGTAGCCATTTGTCAGGTGCCGGTGTCTTTGCTAGGCACTGCGATACAAAATGTCATTTGTAGCAGAACATATTATATAAAAATGAATTTATAATTTAAACTGTCCTACATACATAAGTAACTGTGGAATGAATGATGTTTATTTACTCTTTACCCCAGAGATAACTACCTGGGGATATAAAAATGCATTATCATTATTACTATTATCATTACTATTGTACCTTCAACAGAGACCTGAGTATGGATTGGTTAAAGCCTACAGTTCTACCCACATGGGAACTGTCTGTTGGCTTGAGCAGTGAATACCGGCAATGAAGGCTAGTAATATATACTATGGGAGAGAAAAATTACTTCTTATTACAAAGTGCTTATAGGAGAAAACGAAGTAAGAAGTGTAAGATCCAGCCCACTTTGCCACTTCTAAGACAAGGAGAAAATAGATTTGTCTAAGACAATGTGCTAAAGGCTGGCTAACTAGAGCCTCCTGTGTAGAAGAACCCTTGCTTAATTAAAGACATAGAAGTTCAAAAGAATAAAGAAAAGCAAGATGTGAAGATAGAAAAGCAAGGTGTGTTTTTTCCATCGAGCTTAACTGTTGAATCCAGATGATGGGGGTGATTGAGAACCATCTTAAGCCTGGTTTAAGAGTCAGTAAAGGAGTAAAAACAATGGGCCCAGGTTTGTTATTTCGAGAGGCCCTAAATTCAATCCCCATTATCACCAAATAAAAACTTGCAGTGGCTCTAAAGTTTCTAGGCCACTAGGAGGCAGCCTTGTCAGAGCATACTAACATACTAGAGCAAAAGTACTCACCTCATGGTGGCTAAGAAGCAGAGATAGGAAGAGCCCAAGAGGCACCCAAGGATATACTCCAGATTACTTAATTCCTCCAGTTGGGCCCCAGC